GGGTCAGAGAGTTTTAGAAAATATTCTTAGTGGATTGAATTGGGTCCATGAATCTAAAAACTAGTGAGAATTCTTGATCTCTCTCAATTAGAAAATTCAGGATTTGAATTGATGTCCTCTCTTTAATTCCACCTAAAGTGCATTAATTTATCCTAAAATTTTTATATCAATTGGAATTTGGTTATTCACCATGACCGAGCGGTCTATAGAAGAGAATTTAATGATAAGCTTGCGCTTGTTTGCAGGAATCATCGTAAATGATTAAAGTGTGTCGTTTACGATACATAAAAAATTTAGCCAAAGAAGCTCTTGTATAAGGAGAAAGGTATTAAAATGTAGCATGGAATTTGCTATTTCGACTATCAAAATAGTATATTCCATCGCTCCCTTTTCCTATAAAGTAGCTATTATCGGGGCCGCATGAGATGCTTTTTTCCCAATAGCTACATAAACATATATATTATATTTTGACCTTATTGATTGATAATCGTATCTGTTGCTACTATTATTTTACTGGTCTATTTGTTCCCAATAACTAATTTTCGTTGACCACGTCCTATAGGGATCATCTAATCAATAGCAATAAGCCTGATTTGAAGAAGCTCATATAGATGCACAAAAGCAAGAATACGACTTAACAGTATCAGTGCTCAGCACCGGTGAATAGGATAGGATGAAAAAGGATTTCCATTTATTATTTTTTTTTTTAAAACCTTATCATATCCCTCTATTGTATATGAATTTTATGGTTTCCGTTAGTGTAAATCCATTCACCTGAATTCAAGATAATAAGAAATTCCCCATTAGCAACAAATGTTTATCTATTAAGCGGAGGAAATACTAATTAAAAAGCATAAAACCTAAAGATTATGTAGGCTCTCATTCTAGCAAGAAGAGACTAAGAGGGTCAGCTACCCAACAAACTTTCAAAATTAAATACCATTGCTATATAGGTAGATGTGAACGTTAAAGATCTATTACCGAATAATTCATGGGTAGAGCCGATGAGTCTGAATTATACAAGTTTGCGATAACATCAATTAGTTGATTAAATATTAAATCAATCGAAGCTACATGTGCTATTATAGGATTATGGTCGTAACTATTGGTTTGGACGATTAGGTAGTAGTCACCCATGATTAGGTTCCCTTGGTTGGAATTATGATTGCTAGCAAAGTTGTCAAAGCCACATGGCATTGTGGTGCAAAACGCCTAGGTGCTCGACTTTCATAAATGTACACATGGTGACAGATATTATGTCAGTTACTAGGGTCTCCCACCAAATATAAGAACTTGCTTAGAGCCTTAAACTTAACTATGATTTATGAAATGTTTCTCTTGCATAGATTTCAATTGACAAAATTAATTCGTTATGAAATGCTTTTATTGAAATGAAAATGCATATTGTCTTACCATGTTTCTTAAAAGTCTGGCCCCGCTTGTAATTTTATACTCACGCCTCTTGCTCGGGTCTGTGGCATCTCTTTCATGGATGCACGTATTAAGATTCAAGATGATGTGGTTACCCGCTAGGCGACTCTCCGACTCTTCTCCAACTTATTATGGAGATACTGCTTCAGTAGGTATTTTATAGTCTAGTTAGTTTTATGCATTAAGTAATCTTTGTGAGTGAAAATCCTTATTTCCCTTGAAATACTCCTCAAACTATTTTTTAATAATAAAAAAAATAATCGGATACATTAGGTATTATATTACATCATATAATAGTAGTTGGTCATTTTGCAGTCGCACAATTTAGGCCGACACAGCGCGGCAGTGCCTAGGTCCTTCAGCCTGCTTTTCACCATTGCGCTCTCCATTCACGATGGCGGACTCAATCTAAACTGTCCAAAATCAATAATCTTGAATCTCCACTTTAACATACTTTATTGCTTTTAGCCTTTACATCTTTGATCCATACATCTTCGACATCCTTAAAGTTCTGAATGGATACAAAGATGGCTCCAAGTTCATGATCTCTACAAAGATGCCTATCAGTACTTCTATCATTCTTGTTCATGTTAAGAGAAGATAAAAAGTGCTTCTTCAATCTATTACTTACACGATTTTCATCATGCTAAATATCACACAATGTTTTCATCGGGACAACATGACCCATTTTCCTTTTTTTTCTTTCTTTTGGTTAAGCTTTGCTGAAAGTCATGTTGAGCTAGAATCTTTTTTTAATTTTTGACAAGTATGTTGAACTAGATCATCTTGAATTTTTTGACAACTTCAGGAGCATTTCTTAATTTATTTGACAATTGGAAGTTGTAAAACTTACACATATATTGCTCAAATTTTCAACTAGAACTAAAATTCGAAAATTCTTGAAGTACAAATACTTCTTAACACCAAGGCAAGACTGTTCCACTCTTTTATTACTAGTAAAAGATAGGCAAGTTGCACAGGAAAGAGTAGAATATGAAGAATGTCTCAGAATGTGGCACTGCATATTCTAGCTGCTGGAAACAGGCACCAGTGAACCAATGCTACTCTATTACTCAACAGCAAAATTGCCTTCACTTTCTTTATCTATAGAAAACCACCAAGAACTATGAAACAGGCTGAATCAAGGAGTGCAGTAAAAGAGGTTCATTTTGACCAAGAAGCTGTCAGGATTTTAGTACAAACAACATCAGCATGTGCTTCCTTACCATGTTGATTAAATCAGAATTTTCATATACCCTTATCACTAAATTTCTTGATTAGAGCCAGTGCAGAATATCAGATTCTTTTGGATTCGTGTATTTGCTGCCTGCCCATATGTTCAGGAGGGCGTGGCAGCCATTAAATTTCGGAAGACTGAAATATAGGACATTGTAATCCCACCTTAGCCAAGCAGCATGCCTCCTGTTGTACTCGGTCACAAGGAGATTCCCGAGGCAAAACGGGGTTATCACTCTTCATCCCTCTATAATTATATTTCTCACCTTCCCCTTCAACACATAAGGGTCAAGCAAGCTATTCCAGGTCGCGACTTATCTTGAGTTAAAGAATTTCCTCACCAATCAAAAGCTGCAATATCTCGATAAGACCATATAATCCCTTACATAAGATCAGGTCACGAAATGTTTAAATTTGGAACTAAGTTTGAAGCCAAGTTCTCCCATATTAAGAAAGAACTTAATATCAGCAATTAAAGTACAAGTGGAAATCAACTACTCCCCCAGACAGTGGCTAAAAGCATAATCAACCACTCTTGTTCGAATTCATGACATTGTTTCCTTCTTTAAGTCCATCCGGAAAAAAAGGGGCACATTTCTACGTTGTAAGCTCTATAATATTAACATTCCTTTTTTTTTCATTTTTTGATACTTCTATAGTTGTAAACTATTTAATCTTAACATTTTCAGTTTGATTTGATGACATACTCTTACAGGAGTTGACATGGGATGTTGAAAACCGCAAGATAATACTGGTACCTTTGGTATATTATGTATATTTAGCTTATTTATTAGGTAACCTGGTGGAACAGTTGAGGTGTACGCAAGCTAATCCGGACACCACCATCATAACTTTTTTTATATATTTAGGTAATTTGTCATAAGTCCTTTTTTCCTTAAATTCTACGTCTAAGCAAACACGGTCATCTAAAATAAAGCAAAGAGAGTCAGTTTTCACTTAAGTAGCAGGTCTTTTTACTTAAAAAGCATTTGACTTCAGTAGAAGTGAAGAACTAGATAGCTTTTTCCTGAAATCTATACAGTCCATAAAGTCATTTAACCTATGGTTCCCAGCTCACCCAGAGTTCCAATTGTGTATGCATTGTCGGATAGATTTTGATTCTCATCAACAATGTTGCTCGGACTCAGGTGCGGATCTAAAGCTTGGATTCTTCATCACATATATTTTCGGATTCAAGGATATGGATCCAAGTGCGGATACCAGTGCTGCAATAGGGCCAATAAATTTATATTACAACATATTTAGATTTATATTTCGATTAGTTAAAGTTATTAAACTAAACTAAATTTAATTCTTTATATGGTACCTAAGATTTTATTCATAAGATATCTCATGTATTGGCAAAGTGTTCTCATATATATATATATAGAGAGAGAGAGAGAGAGAGAGAGAGAGAGAGAGAGTGTGTGTGTTATCGCTGTGTGACCTATAGGACACGGCCGTGGAATCAGCCAGCCACTGATGCTTGCATTAGGCAATCACACCCCCTTGGGGTTCGGCCCTTCCCGAACCCTGTGTGAACACAGGATGGTTCGTGCACTGGGCTCTATATATATATATATGACATAAACCCAAAGATCAAACCAAGTACCTAATCAATATATACTTCTTGGTCATAGATGTAGCCAAAGCACCCTAGGTAAGTTGACCAAATTCGATGTGGATCCATACCCACACCCAAATAGTGTCGGATCGAAACGGGTGCGGCGTGGATTTTGAAGGGTGTAGATATCTCATGTATTGGCAAAGTGTTCTCATATATATATATATAGAGAGAGAGAGAGAGAGTGTGTGTGTGTGTTATCGCTGTGTGACCTATAGGACACGGCCGTGGAATCAGCCAGCCACTGATGCTTGCATTAGGCAATCACACCCCCTTGGGGTTCGGCCCTTCCCGAACCCTGTGTGAACACAGGATGGTTCGTGCACTGGGCTCTATATATATATATATGACATAAACCCAAAGATCAAACCAAGTACCTAATCAATATATACTTCTTGGTCATAGATGTAGCCAAAGCACCCTAGGTAAGTTGACCAAATTCGATGTGGATCCATACCCACACCCAAATAGTGTCGGATCGAAACGGGTGCGGCGTGGATTTTGAAGGGTCCAAACAGCATAGCTTAACAATGATCAGAAAAGTCGCATTCATCATGGAGGAGCCACCCGTAGGAAAGACCTAACATTTTTTGCAAAATTCTTACTACAAAAAGGCCAATTGCGTAATGGCAGATGCATACTCCTATGCCACACAACCCATGTTTAGTTTAGTTCAAGCAAAAGAAGCCAAGATACGAACTTTGGCAAATGGAGCAAGATGTTATCAATGAGCAGAGTAAGGAAATTACTAATGATGTCAATGAGGAGCTTACCAAAGTGAAGAGCGAGGAATCGTTGTTTACAGAATCATTTCTACAAAGCTATACTAATCATCATTGTGCAGAAAATGAGTAGGCAACCCTTAAGCTCTCCCTTTACAATATATGGGCATTTCAAGCTGAAGATGAACTTTTTTTCTGCTGCAGGAAATGTCTAGGCAATGCAACTTTTATTTTTGTTGGCTTCATTTATTTCAGCATAACTTCTGAGCCATCAGTCACAAGAACTCCATAACGTTAATTCAGCTTTGGCAGGATATTCATGCTCTGGTTCATCCTACTGCAGCAGATCACACAGTTTCCATGGGGGAGGATAAAAGCAGATCTCTCAAGTGTTGAGAATGCATGTCCCTGATGAAACTCATCCAACTTATAGATACATTTCAAAAAACGTTATTCTTCCTGTGGTAAGGAGTGTGAAGATGGCTAGGGCTTGAGTCTGAAGCTAAAAGCACATCTGCCATGTGTCAATAATATATTCATTTCATAAACTCATCCAACTTATAGATGCATTTTCAAAGCAGTTATTCCACTCAAGTCTCAACAATATGAATTAGCAATTTTACAATAGACTTACTAAGCAATGGTCTCATAAATCTGTCTTGACCAAACAATTTCTGAAGATGTAACTTCTTTCTTCCCTCATACCTATCCAAGTCCATCACATGAATGTGTTTTGAGTTTTTATTTCATAAAGGAATCTGCTCACTTCAATCAAGCTTAATCTGCTCTCCAGGATAGTTATATAAGATCAACTTCTAGCTATAAAATTATCTATCACAAGATAGACATGGATCATCTAGCTTCTTAAAATAAGAAGCCAGTTGGCATCACCAATAGCAACATCTATTGATTAACTTGCATATCTCATGCCATGTTCATGATGCCGCCATTACTTTCTGAGAAGCATTTTCCATCCCTTTGTCACCACATAACCTCTGTGACAAGCTTCGCACCCCAAGAGTCTTATATTCCCACACAATATCAGACATCTCATCTTGAGGCAAACATATACCGTGCTGTTTAACTGACTTGTGCAGCTGGCAGAAAAACTTAGGATCCTGTAAGTTGATATATTCACACAACACCTTCCCATGGTCAGGGATCCAGTTCCTTGGGAACGGAGTATAATCACATGATGGGATTGAAGACATGCGGGAAAACTGAACACCTTCAATAGCATCAACAAGTCCCATCCTCAAAAGATCTGAATACTCAGGTGCAGAATTGTTGGTGTGCTCCCTCAATGGACGGCTTAAATCACGCGAGGCAATCTTATAAACCTTGGCACGAGATTTCAGTCTATACCTGGCAGCATATAACTTAGCCAGAGAGCTACGAACCACATAAGCACAAAACCCAACAACTTTTCTCCGATTATCAGCATATCTGAACCACTCAGCCATTGTCTCAAGAAATTTATTCATTTGAGAATTAGTATGAGCTTGACCTGAGTAAAGCATTGGTGTGCAAGGCAGTGGCTCCGGATCCCTATCACCTTTCACAAGCTTGAGCTTCCGAAACTGGCGAATACATTGTTGCAAGCTAACAGCGACAGAGAGCAAAGTCCCTATACCTTTTTCACTCACTATATTACCACCACTCGCTGTGTAACGTAGAGTCGGATAAATTACACGACGGCAAATAATATGATCCAAGAACTGAATTCCCCTACTAATATGCTCCACCTCTATTTTTGAATTGTCCAACCTGACCCCAAATATCCTCTCACAAAATTCGATTATCTCTTTCCTCATTTCCACCGCATCCTGTCTAGGCCCTCGAATTCCAACCAAGAAATGACCACCAAACCTAATAAAATCCATCTTCCTTGTCTTCTCTTTCCCACTTGAAGGAACAAACTCAGGCCAAGCAGGATTATGACAACCGTCATCCATAGAATATTTCCATATCGCATCTCGCTCACAAGGCCTAAAAAACTCAACTATTTTCTGTTCCATCATATGATCGAGCTCACTAAGACACACATTAGCTAGCAAAGGACTAAGAATTCCACAACAACCATAATTGGGTATCTTAGCAGCCTCCTGTGGAGAAAACTCAAAGAATGTCCTTAACCAATAAGGGTCTGGCTTACAGTCGTTCTCATTCAAAATCCTCTTTTTCGTCCGACCTTGCTTTCTTTTCTTACTATCCTTCTCTTCTTCATCCTCCTCCTCTCCTAATCGGCTCCTCACGGGAGCTCTCAACCCTGATTTGATCAAGTTCAACACTTTCTTATCCTTCACAGCTTTTTCAAGACTACCCATAACAACATTAACATCAACATCATCAAAAACCTCACTAATATCTCCTTTCAAGAACCACAAATAACCAGCAAAGTTACTTCTGATGGTCCTAACAACAGTATGAGGATTCCTACCGGGACGAAAAGCATGGGACTTTGATGAAAACCTAGGCTCAAAAATGGGTTCAAGAATCATGAGTAAAACTTGTTGTACCACAATGTCCTGAAACGGCGGCGTTTTAGAGGTCAGTATATTGTGAAGCTGACGCCTAGAGAGCTGTTCCGTAATGGGTTTTTCATTAGGGCCGCGAATCAATTGGTGGGTTTTTGCGTTCCAAAGGAATTTTCCATGGATAACAGTATTCCGGAGGGATGAGAGGTCGGATAAGACGTGGGAGTGGAGAGCGTTGCGGGGTGGGAAAGAGCCAGTGAAATGAGCATAGGTGCGTTGGTAAGCGAGTACCCAGAGATCGAGCTTTGAGAGAAAACCGGTAATGTTAGTGAAGGGGTTTTGGGGTTGAGAGAAAGTTTTGATCCAGAGATTAGAGAGAATTTCGACTGGGTCTTCCTTGAGGAGGGCATGGGAGTCTTGTTGCGGTGACAGTGGAATGGAGTTGCGGTGGCGGGGCTTGCGCGAGAGGTGGGAGATGTAGCGGATTGACTTGGTGCACGGAAGGTGTTTGAACTTTGTTCTCAGTGACATCTGAGATTTCAGCAGACTCATGCATGTAAATGTCGCTGATGGCATTAGGAGGTTCCAAAATTGAATCGGGTCTATTTTTACTCAACAAACGGGCATGCTTACGGTCGAACCAATGGATACCAATTTCTTAATGTTCTTTTTGCAATAAATAAAATTACATAAACAAAAATAACTTCCTTAACTTCTAGATCATGCTACTTTTCAAGATGTTGCGAAGGAAAATTGGCATGTAGCGCTAATCCTTTCATTATTTTCAATCACAAATTGAAGAAGTTAAAGAGAGCTCTTTTAGTGTGGAGTAAAGCTACTTATGGGAATTGTATACGGTTAAAAACGGGCCCACCCGATTTTTCTATGCTGACCGAGACCAAGAAGTTGCATCGAAGGTCAACCCCGAAGTGAATCGGGTCAAGGCACGAAGACAAAGTACCAAGCTCGGGATTCGAGACACCTGCTAAGATCGAGGCCGACAGCAATCGAGACCAGACAAGACAGGCATCGAGCAATATCGAAGATAGCGTAATAACGGAAAAGCGAGATATTCGCAACTGGTCGAAGATCATGGCGGAAATATCTGAACGAATCGAATCAAGAATGGTTGTTTAGCTAATCATGGAATTTTCTTCTGTAATTAGAATTGTACCATATATAGAATTTCTCAACTATATAAAGGGGAGTTCTAACCATTTTGTGGGGACAACTAATACAAAAGCAATATAATTTTCTTTCTCACTCACCCTCTTGTTTTTCAGCTTATTGTATTTTTATTGTCCTTGCATCAACCAGTTCAAGGATACTCTAACTCAAAGGTTGAGTTCTACTCAAATACTGGTATGATTTACTTTATTGTACAATTCTATCATTAATCTTCATATTTTTTAATTGGTATTAAGTGAAATTACGTATCCTTAAATCCACATTATAAGTTTAATTGTTATCCAATTTTGAGGGTAAACAATTTGGCGCCCACCGTGGGGCTAAGGATAATAGTGATTGCTTAATACTAATTTCAATAACACACTGTTTTACACTTGTTCTCGTAAGAATCTTTGTTTTCAGGACAAACATGTCAAACTCACAAGCAGCACCTACACATGGTGACAACAGCCTTGGATTTCACAGGGAAAACAACAACATAGCCGCCCCAGGAATCGAGGTGCCTCAGGCCGACCTCGGGAGAGCACCAATTGCAAATCCCGTCAATGTCAGTTCACATGTCGCCCTAAATGCAAATTTTGGCGTTGAGCCCGAAGGTAGTATACACAGGGAAGTTCGATTAGGTGGTCAAGGTACACAGGGCGAAGAAGATGGTGGAGTTAGCCCCCAATTGATATTCGAAACGTTACAGGCTCAATAGGCCACTATAGCACAACTACAAAATCAACACCGAACACCGAGTAGGATCGAACCAAAAGTCGTTTAAAGGACCGAGCTTGTGCCAAAAAGGTCGAATGTCAACGAATCGGGGACTGACCCCGCCATTATGAAAATGTTCGAGGAGCTCAAATAACGGATTAAATCGGGAGAAAAGAAAATCGAGGCAAATGACAAGAAAGTAGAGACATATAACTCTTGGGTTGACCAAATACCGGGGGCGCTGCCGATTTTAAAAGGTATGGATTCAAAGAAATTTGTACAGAAGCCTTTCCCTCCGAGTGCGGCACCGAAACCCATTCCGAAGAAATTTCGAATGCCAGATATTCCTAAGTACAACGGACCACTGACCCTAATGAGCATGTCACTTCTTATACATGCACAATAAAGGGAAATGACTTAGAAGATGATGAGATTGAATCTGTTCTACTGAAGAAATTTGGAGAAACCTTGTCGAAAGGAGCAATGATATGGTACCACAATTTGCCGCCTAATTCCATCGATTCTTTCGCCATGCTTGCAGACTCCTTCGTAAAGGCATATGCCGGAGACTAGAAAATCGGACCTCTTCAAGGTGAAACAAAAAAACAACGAAATGTTGAGGGAATTCGTATCTCGGTTTCAGATGGAACGCATAGAACTACCACCGGTCACAGATGATTGGGCTGTTCAAGCCTTTACTCAAGGTTTAAATGAACGAAGTTCGGTGGCATCACGATAGCTAAAGTAGAATTTAATTGAATATTCAGCGGTAACCTGGTCCGATGTATATAATCGGTCCCAGTCGAAGATCAGGGTCGAGGATGATCAATTGGGGACCCCTTCCGATTCCGCTTATCCAAACAGGCCCGTCGGCAGAACTCAAAGGGATATCGATAGAGAACCCCGATCGAGCAGAGATCGGTATCTACCATACAATGCAGATCATAGAAACAACGGCCCAGGACGTAATCCCATCCGAAATGATCGAAGGAACGATCGAAAACAGAGCTCTCGAGGGCTCATGAGCAAAAGTGGCTTCGATAAACATGCCAATCCCATAGAAGCACCACGATTGTCAAAATACAACTTCAGCATCGACGCATCAGGTATTGTGTCAGCCATTGGGAGAATCAAAGATACTAGATGGCCCAGACCCCTACAAATCGATCCATCCCAAAGAAACCCCAATCAAACATGCAAATACCATGGTACACATGGTCATAAAACAGAAGATTGCAAACAACTAAGGGAGGAGGTGGCCCGTCTATTCAACGAGGGTCATCTTTGAGAATTCTTGAGCGACCGAGCTAAAAACCATTTCAGAGACAGAGACGCAAATAGGAAAAACGAGCAGGAAGAACCACAGCACGTGATTCACATGATCGTTGGTGGGGTCGATATTCCACAAGGTCTCGTGTTCAAACGCACTACAGTATCGATCACCAGAGAAAAACGAACTCGAGACTATGTGCCAGAAGGCGCTTTATCATTCAATGATGAGGAAGAAGAAGGGATCTCACAACCCCACAATGATGCTTTGGTAATCTCTATCCTTATGAATAAAATTCAGGTTAAACGTGCTTTAATTGATCTAAACAGTTCGGCCAATATTATTCGATCGAGGGTCGTGGAGCAGCTCAGCCTACAAGATCACATCATACCCGTAGCTCGGATTCTCAATGGCTTTAACATGGCGAGCGAAACAACTAAAGGTGAAATCATCCTACCAGTAAATGTAGCTGGAATTATTCAAGAAACAAAGTTCCATGTGATCGAAGGCGATATGAGATACAACACACTGCTCGGAAGACCATGGATTCACAATATGAAGGTAGTCCCCTCAACCCTTCACCAAATGCTGAAATTCCCAACACCGGATGGAGTAAAAATGATGTATGGGGAACAACATGTTGCCAAAGAGATGTTCGCGGTCGACGAAGCCATACCGGTGTCGGCGCTTTCATCAACAAAAGGATCAGAATCCAAAGGAAAAAAGAAAGCTAAATAGCAACCACAACTACCAGCCTCGACTCAATCAGAGAAGCAGGGAATGAACGAAGACGATGAATATTGGATCCCTCGATCCTTCATAATCCCCGAGGATTCTGACGCCACCAAATCGACGGTCAAGGAACTGGAGCAAGTCGTACTGATCGAGCATCTACCAGATCGAAAGGTATACCTGGGTACGGGGTTAACCCCCGAGCTCAGGGAAAAACTCATCAAAATTCTTATCAATAATATGGATTGTTTTGCTTGGTCCCATTTAGATAAGATAGGGATCCTACCGGAAATCGCTGCACATCGACTAAGCTTGGACCTGAAGTTCTGCCCGGTAAAACAAAAAAGAAGACCCCAGTCCGAGGTAAAACATGCTTTCATCAAGGACGAGGTAACCAAACTTCTCAACATAGGATCCATTCGGGAGGTAAAATACCCCGAATGGTTAGTAAACGTAGTCGTAGTCCCTAAAAAGGGAAATAAAGTTAGAATGTGCATAGACTATAAAGATTTAAACAATAAGCTCTGATCCTAGTTGAAGTCGGGGAGCCCAGTGTCAGGTTTCGATATGCAACGAAAGAGTCAAATCACGAGGCTATGAATACAAGCCTCAAATTGCTAGATGAAAAATGGGAGGTCGCCCTCGTTTGAATGGCCGCACAGAAATAGCGGATCGAAAGGTACTACAATCGAAGAGCCAATCTTCGACACTTCAAAATCGGGGACTTGGTTCTGAGGAAGGTCACCCTCAATACTCAAGACCCAAACGAAGGAAAACTTGGTCCAAACTGGGAGGGACCATACCAGGTCCTCGATATCATCGGAAAAAGATCCTACAAACTTGGCATGGCAAATGGAGAACAATTACCAAACAATTGGAATATATCACTCCTCAAACGATATTACTGCTAAGGTACAACCATCTCCATTTTCATTTATATTTTATACTAACCGTTTGCAGGTGTTTAATCGAAGACATCAAAGGATTCTTCAAACGCAGTCTTTAGGTATGAAAGCATGCGTTGCACACTTTTTCTCTTAGACCGGTTTTTATCCCAAATTGGTTTTTCCGGTGAGGTTTTTAACAAGGAAACCATTGTCCGTGCTAACTTAGAGCAATTCAACAATATTCGAGGCTCCTTTACAATCAACCTCGAATACTGGGAGGCATCACCCTCGGATAGTTACAAGGAAAATACTTCGTGTCGACAGGGTCTCGATAGGTAAATTTTGTAGAGGACCAAACGGTCAAATAAATCGTGTCCGTGTAGATTACTCGAGCCCTAATGGCAAACATGTACGCATGTATAATTTATTGGAAGAAGTATTTTTCCTTACCAGATGCTCCATGTTTTAGAAAAATTTATACTTTACAATTTCATACTTATGATCTATGGTGGAAACTGGCTTAAGGGCCGATCACAACTGAAGTTCAAACAATTTACCCGATACACGGGGACTGCCGTCCAGAAAATCGACATGATCGAATTACTAAACCTCGAGATCGTAAGACCTTAAAAAGGCAATCCTCGATTTTATAGGCCACGACCACCCCACTCGAGGACTGATACTTCGAATAAGTTCGAAGTATAACAGGGGAACAAGCCCGAAAGGTGAATCCCAAGTTAAAGGCTACGGCCAAATCAACACGGTTCGGAGACGTCCGATTTCCGTTATTAAACAGGCCTTCGAATATTTTTATAAACCGGTTAAAAAAGT